GAGAGGAGTGTGGTCTGGTATGACCTTACTCTGATCGGTACCAGGCAGGGCTGTCCAGGGGACACCTGGGAACTCTTCTATCATCTAACTGATCTCAGTCAACAGTTGGAAGGGCCTAGGATGAGAAAGGCCTCCAAGGCATGGTTTCCCAGCTCCTATGCACTCAACAAATATTTTGGAAGTCATCTCTCGCCCGAGGCGTGGTTCCTAGGGCTGGGCTGCTGGGTGAAGAACACAGATGCCTCACGGGGCTCATGGGTTAGCAGTTAGCATTCCTCTCCGATCCTTCTGTCCTGCAGGCGGGTCTGTGCCTGTCCTCGTTCCCTCCTGTTTGCAGAAGAGGGTGGCAGGGTATTCACTGGTAGGTCCAAGCATCTCCTTTCAGGCATATAGGAAAGCTGTAGAGGCAAGGAAACTTAAAAAGAAAAAAGGCTTGAGGCTTTTAGATAAATGAAAATATATAATGGTAATGTTCACACAGGGTATTCACTGGTAGGTCCAAGCATCTCCTTTCAGACACATAGGAAAGCTGTAGAGGCGAGGAAACTTGAAAAGAAAAAAGGCTGAGGCTTTTAGATAAATAAAAATATATAATGGCAATGTTCACGTAAGAAACAGTCAAGCCTGTAAAGAATTCTTGTGAGTTTATTTGAGCCAAACTGTCGACAATTGCCGGGAAGCAGAATCTCAACATATTGAGATAATGCTCCGGAGAATGGTGATTTTTTTCACCTATTTTTATACATTACCATCCAAGGAGTAGACGGAGGTGGGTTACATGAAACCGTTGGTGATAGATTAGGGCGGTGGGAGAAAGCAAAGGGGTTGGGAGGGACCTCTGAGACTGGATAAAAAGTAAAATGATAGACACACACTTCCTTTACTTGGTGGGTACAGGATAGTTCACAGTCAACAAGGAACAGGATCACAATAACAGTGAGGGAGTCTGTGGTCTCGGCCCTGTGCCCTGACACATTGGTTGTACCCTGGGGGGTCCGGGAAAAGGGAAGTTACCCTGACATTCCAAAGGCATGTTATCATAGATGCAGAAAGACAATAGGCTCAGTTAAGATCAAAGTTGATCTTTGTCAGGGAAGATACTGGCCTAGGACATGACTACCCACCATAGACTGCTTTTTCATTTAAAAAGTTTAATTTCAGACCCTCCTCTGTGGTCACTTCAGGTCTCTGAGTTTGCAAGGCCGCCATGCAGGCCTCCCCTGAGTTAGGCAGGCCAGCATGTGGCCCCTGTTTGTCCACCGTAAGCAGCAGGTAAAATGTGAGTGTTCAAACCCCTTGAGACGGTTGAAATGCACGAATAAAGGTCTAGTCCAGGGGTTCTCAAACTACGGCCCGCGGGCCACATGCAAATACAAATATTGTATTTGTTCCCGTTTTGTTTTTTTACTTCAAAATAAGATATGTGCAGTGTGCATAGGAATTTGTTCATAGTTTTTTTTTAAACTATAGTCCGGCCCTCCAACGGTCTGAGGGACAGTGAACTGGCCCCCTGTTTAAAAAGTTTGAGGACCCCTGGTCTAGTCTATTTCTGCTCTCTCAAAATGAGGAGAAAAACAGTCATGCATTGCTCTAAACCTCACGCATTAGAAAAGAAAATGCCAAACTAAGAGAAGTCGCTAGGAGATGATCCAGAGGATCCAGATCTGGAAACAACCCCCTGCTACCTGCCCCTCCCCCCAAGAAGGTGAAGAAAGGACCGTTAGAAAAGCAAGTCTAACTCCCGGAGGACTGGGTGTAAGAGGAGGGAGTTGGGCTTAAACGCTTGCTGAGCTGTAGCGTTCAAGGAGGTCTCAGAGAGCTGACTTTCCAAATTAGGAAACTGAGGAACAGGAGAATCAGGCCACAACTGCCTGTGGCCGCCGGGAGCTAGGACGCAGGTCTCTGGATTCCTGCTCCCGTGTTCACCTGCCCCTCCCCCTGTGCCCGGCTGGGTTGGTCCAGAGGCACGAAGAAGCAGTGAGTACCCGCGAGGTGCCAAACCCTGACTCACAAACAGGAAACCGGATAAACAAGGTGGATCCATCCCTCGGGGATGAAGCTACGTGTCTGGATGAGATGACAGATACTGAGGCGGGCGGTCAGGGCTGGTATGAGACGTACTGTGCCTAGAAGGACGGCCGAGGTTGATTAGGTGGCTTCTGCAGGTTCCCCATACTCTCAGGTCCTATGGGACTGTTTTATGGGACTCCTTTACAATCAATTCATACATTTAAGATTTCCTTCAAAATAGAGAAGCACCCAGAAGGGGAACAGAGGAGAAAATAGCTTTTTTTTTTTTCCCTCTGAAATGTTCTTCTAAATCTGAAATGTGGCTTTCAAAACGTTTCCTTGCCTGGGTTACAAATTAGGGCGAGTTTGAGCGCATGGCTAGACTCTGTGTGGATGGCGAGCTGTTAGACCACGGAAACCCTTACTCAGGAAGCAAGAGGTAAAGACTCTATAAACATCCATCCTGCGCAGCAGCGAGGAGAACGCGTGGCCCTGGAGCTGCTGAATGTCGCTCAGGGGGTGGCCAGGGCCTGTCTGGCTGTGACCCAGTAACTCACCGCCTTAGGCCAGTAGAGCTTAGCAGGTGGGTCTGACGGTGAGAATACAGTCAAGAGCCTCACCCCTCTCCCACCTCCTCCGCCTCCTCCGGCTCCTCCGCCCAGCTTGCTGATTGCTGATCATGGCAAACAGGGTCCCAGCAAAGGCAGGATGAGAGGCAAATGCATGAGATCCAGACAGATCCCGCCGGCTAGCCATTCCCCCAACCTGTGCCAGCACGTTCCCCGAGGGGTTAGAAGAGCTGAGGATGGGACTTAGTCTTTATAAACGACACACAGGGCCTGGCCGTCCACTTCCCTTCCTCTTCAAGTCTGTGCTCTTCTTCTCAAAGCAATGCCAGACATCCGTTTTTATCATCACGTTCCTTCCATGAAGTCGGGCTTCCCTTGGCCCCCTGTCCCCTCCCTCTGCCTTGTCATTGGCACCCCGGGCGCACCCACAGCCACTGCCCGCTGGTCTCGGTGCCGTGGGGGGCCCAGCTGGGGGTTCCGGTTGCCAAGTGCACATCTCAGAGCCGATGAACGGAGTGATCGCTCGCTCTGAGCCTTATCGTTGCCAGCCCAGTTTTTAAAGTTTCTTTTATTAGTCTGCATTTCACACTCTGAAAATTACAAAAAAAAAATCAGTGTATCCTAGAGGCCCTCCTGGCTCCCTCCCTGACGTCTCCTAGCAGAGCAGCGCGGCACAAAACGGCCTGTTCCCATGTTCTTCTTCGCGGTTTATTTATGCGTGAACGTGACCCCTAAGTTTTGTTTTTAAGCAATCCCCTGGTTAGCAACACAGAAATATGACACATGACATGTTTGCAAAAGAATCGTCTACTATGTGTCATAATTTTTAAAAGCTCAAAGGCAGATGAAGAAATGAGAATGTGAGAAAAATGTTCACGAGGAAAACAGGCCTGAGAAATGGTGTTTCTGTAGGACTTGTAAGAATAAAACATAGTTTAGTACAGGGATGGCGAACCTTTTGAGCTCGGCGTGTCAGCATTTTGAAAAACCCTAACTTAACTCTGGTGCCGTGTAACATATAGAAATTTTTTGATATTTGCAACCATAGTAAAACAAAGATTTATATTTTTGATATTTATTTTATATATTTAAATGCCATTTAACAAAGAAAAATCAACCAAAAAAAATGAGTTTGCGTGTCACCTCTGACACGCGTGTCATAGGTTCGCCATCACTGGTTTAGTACAAGAATCTCCGTCTCTTTAGAGAGTGGAACGATCGCCCTGTAGTAAAATACTCGGTAAGTACGTTGTCGATGTAATTCTCTCATGAAGTGCTGCTCTGTGGAGTTTTCACAAGTCACCCGCTGTCCGGCCCAGTGCTGGGCAGCTCTGGTCATTAGAACATGTCTTCCTTCCGTAGAGTTGAAGTCTGACTGGTCATTTCTCCTGATTGGTTTAACTCTGTTTTCTAAAGACACAAAGAACAAATCTCATTCTTTGCTCGGAAATTAATAATAATCTGCCTTAAACATCCGATTTAAAACTCTAAAGGGCATACAAGTCCAATTATAAAGAGGAAAATAATTAAACATGAAAAACTGTCCACATTCACTTTTAATCAAACAAATGCAAATTACAATCCCAGCAAGTTACTATGATTAGATTATGTTTAGCATCTATTCGTTCGCCCACAATTGAAGTAATAGCAATGACACATAGTGTTTGGGAGAGTTTGATGAAACTTCTCTCCTTTGATTGTTCATGGAGTTAATTAGTACAAATTTTCTGGAAATAATTTGCCAAACACTGTAAGAACCATTAAAAATTTGATCCAGGAATCTATTCCTTGAAATGTATCATTAAAAAATGTTAATGAAGAAAGAAATTAAGTTTTAAAAGACGTCTTTCCAGGCTTAAGTATAATACCAAAAAATTAAACCCACCTAACACCCACTATTCCATCGGGGAAGAATCCTGCGGTAATAATGCAAGTCTTTATGCTTTAACTCACAGAAACCAGCTTCAAGCATTTAAAGTTACAATTTAAAACATAGGCCACAGCACAGAAAAGTCTTGCATTTGCTATGATTCCAACTCCGTGAAACTATTACTTTCTCCAGCTCAGAGACGCATGTCCAGATGAACTAGGATTGACGCATTACAAAGTGGCACATTGCAATTTGAGGCTCTTTTGTGAATTTTTTTTTCTCTTTTCCTATCATCGTTGTTATGTTATTTGTGCCTTTAAACGGTGGGAAATGGAGGTGGGGGAAGCACCTTTGGAGGACAAAGGTGCTTGGAGCATCAGAGAGCACTCCAGGGCTTCTACCCACACGGGCTTGTCCGCGTGTCAATGCACATACTGATTGTAAAGTCCATGTGAAAATGTGAAATGATGCTGCCCCCACTGAGATGGGTCTCGGTGCACTGGGTGCAGACCTGGGGGGGGGTGAGCATGCATCTGGCCTCTCTCTGCCAGGCTACGCGGTGAACTCGGCCACCGTCCCCGGGGGAGACGTGCTGTACATCGCGGGCCAGCCCCGCTACAACCACACCGGGCAAGTCATCGTCTACAGAATGGAGGGCGGGGACGTCAGGATCCTGCAGACGCTCCGGGGAGAGCAGGTGAGCGGGAAGTTATGGCTGTAAAGTCCCCCGTCCACTCTGTGCAGATTCCACTTTACTGCCTGCTGTCCGCAGCTTCAGAAACACAGGAGCCTCATTCCACCTCAGCTGAGACCGCCCTGGGCTGGGCTCTCGGAGGCATGGAAAGTGGCTGTGAGGATGGAGGCGGAGCGGGGGTGAATAGGTGATAGATGCAGATGCGGGGGTACAAATACACGTACAGAAGGGAGAGCAAGCAGCTTAGGAAGAAGGCAGCAGAGCACAGACAGGACGTGCGGGAGGTGGAAGGATGGCTTTGAGCGCGGACTGGTGTGGAAGGTCTTCGTGAGAGACAGCGCCTGGGCAGGTGAGGATGTAGACGGGGGCAGGCGCTGTGGAAAGGCCAGGCAGGGAGAGCAGCCCCGTGGTGGGAGGTGCTGAGTGACAGGCACCCCCGTACCCCCGCCCCACACACACACACACACACACAAAGTCCTGGGAAGGGCAGGGCCGGGCCCTCAGCGCCGCTCCCCCAGGGGCCTCCCCGCAGCCCAGCGCACAGTGCGGCTCAGGTGTCGCCAGCAGACCTGCCAGCGAGGAGCCAGCTCTGCCACAGGCCAGGGCCATGGCTGGCGGGTCCCTGCTGGGGTGCGGCTGCAGAGCCTCAGGCACAGGCTCCTCTGCAGCCGGCCCAGGTGCGTGCAGGAGGCACCAATCCATGCATTTCTCTCACATCCATGTTTCTCTCTGTCTCTCCCTCTCTCTTCCACTCTCTCTAAAAAAGAAAAAAACAATAAACAAATAAGAGAGAAAACATACTGCTGCAAGGGGCGGGGGGGTCCCCGCACCCTGCCCCCCCGCAGCGGCTGGGACTAGACCACGCCCTGAGCTGGGGGACACTGTCTGAGACTCAGCTATGAAATCGCTGCCCCGGATCCCGCCCCGTCCAGCCCCTCCTGCGGACTCAGGGCGTGTGTGCACACCGCGGCCTCTCAGCGTGCGCTGGCCCCTGTCCGAACGCCTTCCATTGTTTACCTCATGGCGTTTCTTTTTAAAAAACACTCTTTGCAGTGTCACTGGTCTTGTCCGACCTGGAGAAGAACGAGGTTGGGGAGAAAGCCAAAGGAAGCCCTTTCTCGGAAGCTACGGAATCTGTAGCAGCCACCCCCCTCCCCCTTCCCATCCCCCTCCCCCTCCGGGGGGCCTGCTAGTCAGTGGCATGGGCAGAGCTGAGAGCCCAGAGGAGCTCCGGGTCGCCCCGTTTCTGCGGCTCACCCCCTGCGCCCTCTGACCTCACGCACGGTCAGATGGTGTGAGCCAGAAAGGCAGGCTCTCGCTTCCCGAGTGCCTGGTGCACCTCATCAGCGGCTGCTCTGTGCTGTGTGTGCCCAGATCGGCTCCTACTTCGGCAGCGTGTTGACCACCGTGGACATCGACAAAGATTCCCACACGGACGTGCTCCTGGTCGGGGCGCCCATGTTCATGGGGGCTGAGAAGGAGGAGCAGGGGAAGGTGTACGTGTACGCCCTGAACCAGGTACCGGGACGGGGTCTGGGGAGACCGGGACCACCTCTTCCTTTCTTTCCGTTTCAAACAAATCATGTGGCGCTACTTTTGCACTCACGTCGGAAAAAGGAGCAAAACCAGTGTCAGGGCCCACTACCCCCTCTTCTCTAATGAAGGTTTACAGTCCTCATAAAGGTGTTCAAACCGCTAGGCATTTTCTGCTTCGAAAATGTGAACTATTCTTTTCAAACAATATATGGGATGGAGATAAATACATAGCTCACAGGCAGCCATTCATGAGCTCTGGCCTGGAGGTGTGGGGGGCCTGGAGATGTGGGTCCCTTGGGGGTGTGGGGGGCCTGGAGGTGTGGGTGGCCTGGGGGGGTGGGTCCCCTGGT